TGTATGCACCTCACTATCTCTTCGTCCTCTTCTGCTCGATCTCACCATACTCCCTGACACGAATCGTATACGCGGCACTTTCCCTGCCGTGGACGTTGCAGGTACACACGTAAGGTCTTTCGGGACAGATAGCCTGGCTGATACCACGCTTTCCTTCGTCTCCCACGGAACCATTTTTAATAGACACTTTGTAGTGAAGTCATCACTATGTTTCCGCGCGCTTTGCCATCACGCAAATCGCTTGTACGCCAGCTTTGTATGTACGACGTTTCGCTTCGCGCGATCGTCGTGTCATTACCTTCGACAGAAAGCACGCGGAAAAATCATCTTTGGAATTATAAAATTATCTGCTTTTCGTCATCTTACGCATATTTGTATGCCTAAATAATTATATTGAATGCTCAAACAAGTTGCTAGAATATGTCAAAGCTTTTTGCAATATTATTATTATGCTTGAATGTGTTCCCACATAATTATTTTTATATAATCCAATATATTACTTTCAGATTTATATCTAAATTTTTATTTCAGTAAAATTGTTCTTTTCGTGCAATTTTTATGTGTTTTACGAAAATATTTCTCACGCTAGAATTGAGTTTCTGTTGCGAAAATTATTCCAAATACATTTCCCTTTTGACGAAATATTATTATTTTGATGAAATATTATTATTTTCTTGTTTCTCAGTTCCGTTATAAATTTGTATCTGTCTTTTTATCAGCCGCTTGTCGTTGACGTCTTCGAAGATGCTCGACAATGCGGAAATAATATATCATGTTGATCGCGCAGAATACAACGTCGTGAAAGAGCAATTGTCGACAATCGTTTTACGGAGATACAGTTTATGCAATCCCCGATAGGAGAAGTTAGATATAACTTCTTATTCATCGACATTACATGGACTCGATAAAGTCATTCGATAATTCTTCAGCATTATCGACAAATGTTTCACTTTATTGGCACTCATTCTCTTATCTAACCATTCCGAGCCATTTAAACGTAATATCAGCGTTTTCCCATTACCTAACATAACGGATCTATAATTTATGAAATTTTTCCTACGCGTGCATGCGTAAATACCATAAATTGCAATATCGCGCGGAGATATATGTGAAGAATCCGGAGAAAACTTACCCGTGATCATGAATCATTTGTAAGTTAAATACTTAATTTATAAAAGAAGCAATTCAATCGATAATAATTCTATCTATAGAAATGTGTTTTATTAAATTTGTTTTACCTGCATAAAATATAGCGTTTTAGATTTCTATATTTATTTATCCTTTTAAATTTCGTACTTTTATATTTTAGCTCAGTAATTAATGATATGTAATTAATGATTTTTTAATATATTTTTGAATTAAAAGAATGTCCTGTTTACACAGAAAAAACGGTTTTGTTAAAAATTTAGTTAGATACGGACTTGAAAATAATTGTGTTGGATCATTAAAATAGTTAAGTAAAGTGCTCAAATTACGTGTGGAATGTCAAAACTTTTTGTAACATTACTCTTTATGCTTGAGATTCCTACGTAATTATTTTGATGGTCTAACTAAATTATTTTCAGATTTGTATTTACCTAAATTTTTAGATATTTCAGCAAAATTCTTTCTGTATACCATTTCTCGCGAGTATTCATCTGCCTATGACGTGCAATTAAATTTTATACGTTGACTAACGTTGAATCTAACATCAACCGCACCTCGATTAATTCTTAATTTTATGGTGTTATCACAATTTTGCGTGATATCACATTACTTATGATGTTTAGTGATGTTCATACAAATTATTTTTGCCATTTATGAGTGAGAGCCGCGGCAAACATGTGATCGTAAATTTGCGATGCGCATCTATTGTCTCTCCTTAGAACTTAAAATTACTCATTTATTATTCATGGAGAAAATCTGTAATCATTGTAATGATTTGTCGTCGTAAGCACACAAGTGGCACTGCATGGAACCGCCGCTGATGAATGTCGTCATAAATGTCTGCGGCTGCTACCTACAAAACATGTTAATTAAGTGTTTTTGAGATAACAGTGTCTATAAATGACTCTTCGTCCAGAATGATTAACTAATCTATTAAAAACGTATTAAACTATTTTCTCAGCTTCTCGTTTTTTTGATCATAATTCAAAAGATGGCTTGTCGTGAAAAAAACATCGATCTTTCATAATTTAATTTAATGTCAAATTATACTCAATTTGAATAATTATTTAATTATTTCTATAAATCGTCATTGCTTCTATTCAATTAATTTAATCAAAGACAATGGAGTCAAATAATTTCATTAGAAAAAATATATTTAATTTAACTTAAATTTATACAATAGTTTATTTATTAAGGAAATATATCAATATTATTGTTTTTGAAACTAACCACAGAAATGGAATTCATTTATTTGACACATATGAAAGTAAAAAATAACAAAATATTATTTTTAACTGAAGGAATTGGATTATCATTGCTTCTTTGATATCTATGTTTAGTTAATTCAATTTAATCTGATAAATTTAATTTATAATTGCGACAATACAAATTGAAACGCCTATTTTAAAGACTTGATTGCTGAAGACAACTTTTCGATTTTAACATTCCAGAGAAAATAATTAGTTGCATATCAAATCATATCATGCAGATACTCGTATCTTTTCATTTTCCGACGTGAAATCCGAAACATACAAGAATATGTTCACTCAAGCGACTTACGTCATTCTCTTTGTAATCAAGAAACTCGGGAAGCTTAGATGTTAATCTCAGGCATTACTCGAGCGGGAAGAGAAGCGCAAATCATCTCAAGATCGTGATTGCAGAAAATATAACGAGAGAAACATCTTCGACATGCAAGAGAAAAGAAAAAACAAGATACCTCCGCTTCCCCCTTATCTTTTCGGATATCCTTTGCCCAGGTAATCTGAGGAGACTCCACATCGTCTCGATGTGGACGTAAAACTGCTTTCGAATCTTTACCAATAGCCAGATCCTTTTTTCGCTGTTTTTTTTTCTTTCCCTCCCTCTTTTTCACTCTCTTTTTCTCTTTCGTAACACGATGCCCTTTTGCGATGCGGTTCTTCTTTGCGTGAGAATTTACATGTTCAGATGAAGAAGTCTCTTCTCCTCTCCTCAGGCAAGGCTAATGCGAAACCCACTAGCTCGCGGGTTCGCGAGTGAAAGGAGAAAGGCGCCGATCTCTCAAAACATCGAAGAAAAAGAGAAACGATCGGATGTCTTCAGGAGATACAACGAAAAAAAACCGCACGAATCGACTCGAGGGACAAGCGTGCCTCCGGGGGGCAATCGTGAGGTCATCGAATGGAGGGACGTAGAACCATGATAGAATTGCGATAATCGTGATCATCGACAGCGATTGAGGAAAGGTGAGATTGGGAATAGCAAGGAAGAGGTCAGCGAATACGCCGGAAGCGAAGCGTTCCGCTGCACGACAAAGAGGAGAAATACACGGGGTTTTCAACGGTGGCGACGTTCTTTTTTTATTCTTTTTTCTACAAAAAAAAGCCTTTATACAAGTACAAAAAGATGCGTGGTTAAAGAGCGTTATGTATAAAAAATAGTGTGTATTTGTGGCGTCGGCTGTACGTGTTGCTCGGACACGGCGGCATCCGCTTTGTAATCCGGATCGCTCCTTGTGTCACATGAATCTTCTCTTTCTTCTTGCAGACAGGTAGAGGTCGATATTCCTGCGAAATCGACTTTACTTGCGCGTAATGACTCCGGGTATCCAATTTTTCCGAATTCTTCTTCAGGGTTGAAAAAGAAATAGTTCGGAAGCCATCATCTTCTCTCACGAACCAGAAACTGACTCTGGATGTCCCGGATAAGGATTTCGGTGAGACGATTCTTCGACGGAAGAACTGATTCGCGTTACAACAGCGAACGCCGCGGTATAGCGACGTATTTTTATTTACAAGGCGCGTTTATATCGCGCTGATCACGTCTTCGGCTTGTCGGCCTCCTCCTCCTAGTCCTCCTGCTCCGTCCTTTCTATTGTAATATGAGTGTCCTGACGAAAGCGAACGCAATCGCCGGGGATGAAGTGTGAAGTGTGTTTGCGTCAACGACTACGCTTGTTCTCCTCCTTGACTTATCATGTTCCTCGATTTTTCGATTCGCGGACACGACCGCGATGATGCGATTTTGGTACGATAGACTTCGGCACCGCGCCGATCGCCCAAGATCATCTTAAGCGACCTTGTCCCTTCCGGAAATGGAAGGAAAAAGAGGGTCGAAAAAGGTAGGAAAATTGGGCCATGTTCACTCCCGCGGACCCCGCGGACTTGTCAAAGCGACGACCGTTGGATTCTCGACAAGTCAAGGGGCCCGGGGGAAAGATGCTGGTCCACGTATACTCGGCGCTACTCTTTTGGTGGATTCCAGAAGACCCTGATCCGTTGAAGCGACGACTATTTTTTATCTCCAACGGACCAAACGTCATCCTGTTCGTTCCCATTTCTGCTTCTCGTGTGTGTCTTCGTCCTGACTGGCCCGGTCCATTGACATTGATTAGTCAAAGGACGTGTTCTGAAGTCACGAGGTAAGCCGAGTAACGCGGATAACACGACGATTCAATTCCTTTCGGACAATGTTCGAATATTGATCTATGTGAAGCGATTCCGCGCGACAATTTGACTTGTTGGCATCGACGACCTTCCGAGTTGCAAGCCCAAGGAATGTGTCACTTTGGGAGAAACTGGTAATAAACGGTTATGATCTTCTCCGTGAGTTTTTCGCGTTGGCGAGTTTCGGCTGCGTTGAAATTCTCGGAAAGTAGTCGTTGTCATCGGCCGGTGCCATTATCCACTCTTATCTCTCTCTCTCTCTCTCTCTCTCTCTCTCTCTCTCTCTCTCTCTCTCTCTCTCTCTCTCTCTCTCTCTCTCT